CCTTGTTTGAGAAATTCCGAAAATAGGTTTAGGCTTTTAAAAATCGGATTTTGACGGTGGAAATTCCCGAAAATTCGCGTTTTTGAAAAATTCGAGCGTTTTTTCTTCTGAAATTTTCCGAAATTTTTTTAGCACACTAAGCCGTATCTGACCCTCAAACTGCAACTTCCGAGTAGTTCACTCATTAACGGTGAACTCCCGGACTCAAGTGATCTCAAAGAGACCTAATCATAACACCATTCAAATTCGTTAATTATCATGATTGCAATTATTGTTCGTGATTATCTTTATTGCAAATAATGACTATTGGTTATCTTTATTACAAACATTGTTTTACTGATCATCATTTGGATTTATTTCGTTAATTATCATTAATTAATTTTATTGATTAAATCGTTATTAATTCCTTATTACGAATTTTTGAAGGGCTTACAGAAAATTATTTTTTCTGTTTGATTAGGTGTCTACAGTCCATCAGTGGGACAGGGGATTGTATGCGTATTGCGTGATTGTTCTACCCCTGTTCCCACTCTCCCTACCCCCTTGCATTCTGTGAACACCGGCACCTCTCAAGTACCGCATCAGTTCAGACTGATGTCGATGGAACAGGACACCGGGGCACTGCCACGGCGCAGTGCCAGATCTTCCCGCATGCCCGGTCCGAGAGGCCAGCGAGCCTTTGGCTGACTATCGTGGGCGGCTACAGGCATTTACAGACGCCGTAGCCGCCGCCGAGGCTCAGCACGCTGCGGCAGAGGCAGAACGTCAGCGGCTGGCCAATGAGGCGGCAGCCGAAGCTCAGCGGATAGCTGAGACTGACGAAGCAGCACGAAACAGACGGAATGCCGCCAGCACGGAGTCCCTGATTGCTAGTGAGCATCAGTGGACAACGATACTCCAAGGCATGATCTTTGTGCCTACGGAAACGCATGCGGAGCCGACACAGGCGGGGGCAGAGAGAAGTAACCTGGCTACCGTGATGTTGAACGTAATGAAGGGAGTAATGTGGAACAACAAACTACTGCAGGCACACCTGCACGCGGAACGACAGCAAAGACAGCAGTACCAGCAAGACCTGGCTGCTGTAACGGCCGGCGTCCGCGACGCAGCAATGCAGCAACAGCAACAGCAACAACTGATGAACTCTACCATCGCACGCATCAACGGCATTGAGGCCAAGGCCTCAGCAGCGCCAGGCTGCACGACGGACGCGACGAAGCAAATCAACGAACGCGTCGATCACGTCGTCACCATCATCGGCGACATA